TTATCTGAACATAATTCATAAAAAAATATATTATGTAAAGTTAAACATAAATATCATTTTTCTATATATAAAAATATATTTAGTTGTAATTTAAGACATTAATTAGTACTTGGAAAATAAAATAGACAACTTGATCAATAGGTAACCTATTTCTTTAGAGTCTAGGTAGGTAGAGAATTAGAAAAAGATGTGGGCACAAGTTCATCAAGAACTACTCAAAGTAATGAACAATGTTTTTGTAAATTGAAGTATTATATATTGAAGATGAGTCTCAACTTCCACATTAGTAATTATTATTATTATAATTACCAATCAAGTTAATTAACCAAGAATAACAAAGTAATTTTTCACGTGTTATGATAGTATAAGTTAAATTTAGTATAAAGTATTTATATCTAAAACTTTTTTATAAGATTTTTTATTTTGATTTTCATTCAATATTTAGTATTTATTCTGAAACAAAGTGAAATTTAAAATCTATATATATATATATAGGTGTTTTTTAAGTTCAATTTAAGAATTTCCAACCTACAAGGGAAGAACATGTGGTTTGCCTTATTAGAATAATATTATTATTGTTGGACTAATTAAATATCTAATCATAGTCATGCTGGACCAATAATCATGTGTATGAACAATCAATATATCGTAAAGGAAAAAAAAATGAGTGCTGATTTTTAGCAATCATGTAAACCACTAATAATTAAACTATATTAGGCACATCATTATCCATTCAATATTGTTTTTTATTCTTTTTCTCATTCTATATATAATATTAAAATCCAAAATTTGATTAATATAGATTATATGTCAGATAATAATTCAATCAATTCAATAGACACAATTAAGAGCATAGAAGAAGCATGAGAGGTAAAACTAAGTTAATTTGTGCTGGTAGTCAATTTAAAATTAGAGTCAAATAAACTTCTCTAGACAAAAAAATAAAAAAATTTACGTTGAAGGAAAAGAATAAGTTATTAAATTTGAAACTTAAAATAAAGAAGATTTTCATATGACACGGGATGTTTTTGTGCGTCCATTTTTTTAAAAAATATTTTCATTAAGGAAACAAGCTAAAAAATTAAGAAAAATAACTTTATTAGTAAATATATAGAAAACAAGTTCTACAAATGTTATTTTTATCCTCACCATCTTATAACACACCTTATTTTTGCTACGAATATAAAAAGTAAATTAAAAAAATTTATTTAATTTTATAAAAAATATTTTTTAAGAAAACATTTTTCATGACAACATTGTGCTTGCTATTGACCACATCAATAATGTAAAAAGGAAAAGAAATTAGAATACGAGTTAGAGCTACAACTCCGATTGAATATATTCAAAATTTTCAATGAATTATCATTTTTAAGATTCAAAACCCTTAAACCTATTAAATTTTAACTCCGGCTCTGATCAAAAGCACTATCAAAGAAAAGGAGTAATAAATTTTCTCAAACAGTAATACTAATAAATACAAAAAAAATTAAAAAAATTGATGAAACGTACCTCAATTTTTTTCATCCAAGAAGTAGCTTTTTGTACTTCTTCACTTTCCCATCCATTAATAACAGCATCTTCACGTTTAAACCTATTATTAATCTTCGAAATTTTAGCATTTTGCCATGCACTTATCTTCGATTCAATTTCTTCTTTTTTCACTCTTTGAACACTACTTACTTCTCCAATATTATTTCTCAAAACATTATTATTATTATTATTATTAATCCTTCTTGAAGGATTAACAATAATCGGATCTAAAGTATTACTATAATTATCCGGCACAATAGCTAACGGATTTGTTTCTTCTATCGGCGCATCATTTTCTTCTTCGCCGATGCTCCCCAAATTATTGCTATTATAATTGTTGTTATTATATATATGATTATTCACCTCGTTCTCGCTAGCGGGATTGTTGCTAACTGACGATCCCGCGAGAACGAGGGCGCTGAACTCCCGGCTCATAGTAGAGAAATTCTCACTAGATGCTACTTCGGAAATTGATGATGATCTATGGCTACTTGTTTCCCAAGTTTCGATTCGACGGCCACTATTTGATGGAGGTCTTGGTGGGGTTAAAGCATGTATATCTCTGATTTGTTGTTCATCTTCTTGATGATTTTCTGTTGTAGTGTTGGTGTTGTAATTGGTGGTGGTGGTAGTAGTGTTTACTAGGGTATGAGGTGTTTGATAATTCAACATAGCAAAGATTTTTCTACTTTAGTTTTTGGTTTTTAGTGTATATTTGGGTTGAGGGGGTAATAGTAGTGGAAGAGAGAGGATGTGGTGGAGATTGTGGTGGGGTTAAGTACAAAAAAAATTTAAGGTGAAAAGAGGAAAAGAAGTAAAGATACATACATGATGACTATGTTTTTTTTTATGTGAGCGTGGTAAAAATAACACGGTCGTGGGTGGTTTCAATAAGAAAGGATTGTTCAGATGTTAAGTATCATTCACTTTCAATTTTAAGATTGTGGATGTAAATCAGTGTCACCAAAGGAGAAAAATGACGGGAGCCGGCTCCCAATCAACATCAAGATGTATCGTGTTTTAATACAGGAGAAAAATGATCAAGATGTATTGTGTTTTAATACAGGAGAAAAATGATGGGAAGCCGGCTCCCAATCAACATCAAGATGTATCGTGTTTTAATACAGATAAAGTGATAATTGAGATATGAAACTTACAAAACAGTGATAATTTAAATAGGTGAAATTAAGATATGAAACTTGAAAAATGTGATGATTTGGTGTGTTATTAATCGTTAATTGTAAATAGAGAATTGAGTGTGGAAAAGATAAATAATGATGCGACACATGCACGTAGGAATAGTAATTGAATTATGACAATCCAAGAAAATTAGTAGTGCTTTGTTTTGCATTAAGATTTTAAGAGTCTGTTTGGTCAAAGTATAGTCCAATAATAATTTTTTAATTTTTTTTTAATATATTCATAAAAGGAGGTGTAATCTTAGAGCACATATTTTTTAATATATTCATTCATTATATATTCATGCACATTCTCTCCCTATGATAAATAACTACTATATGTACAATAATTTTAATATTCATGCACATTTCCTCTAGTTATTATAGTTTTTCACCTACATTGAACTACAAGTCTATTCAAATAGCTTATGTATATTAAACTCATCCATATTTACTAAGAGTCTCTATTTTTCGAATCGATGTCTTAACAATTCTAGTATAAATGGCCACTTCCCAGACATTTATTTGAAAAATACTAGTAATTATATTTAGAGAATCACATCGTTAAATAGTAAAAGTCTATTATAGTGATTTTATCTATCTAAAAGCGTGGAAAAAATAAGAAGAAAAAAGAGGACGATTATGAAAAAAAAATCGATAGAGGTAAACTTTTAAATGACGTTTGGATGTTTAAAAAATTGATTGCTTTTTTTTCAAATATTGTAAAAACTAAAAAAGAAAAAATAAATCAGTGTTTGCTTTTTCCACCATTTAAATTGTAAAGATCACTTTCTTTCTTTTGGCTCAAAGTAGTGTCGGCCAGATATATTTTACATGAAAGGAGCCCACAAAAATAGTAAAGTAGATAGTGGTGGTCATCGATCTGTATTAATTATAATTTTTTTATTTTTAATTAAAAAATTTAAGTTTAAATTTTTTAAAAATTAAAATAAAATAAATTCAAACACGCGTGTACCTTACCAGTCAAAATCATAAACAATAAAATAAAATCTCCATGTGGAGTCCATTCATTGGTCAACACTAAACTATTGTCTTTTGTCAATTTCATCAAACAAGATTCACACGTCTAAGATAAACTACAAATAAAATAGAGATAATATCATCTTAATCCCTAAGGTATTGATAAATGTAGATATAGTCTTTATTATATACGATTGATATATTTAACCTTTAATTAATAAAAAATGTAATTTTAATCCTATCAAATATGAAGTATACTGGCACAAACTTAACATAAGGCGTGATGAATTTTATACCGAGATGATCAATAAAAGGCTAAAAAAGAGTATACAATCGAAGATGTGTTTAGTCTGATAACATAGGGACTACATAGAATTTATCAATAAATTGAAGGATTAAATATTCTATTAATAAAATAAAATATTAAAGGGCTTTCAAATGCCCACGTCACACGTAATAATCAACATTATCAAATCACTAAAAAAGGACTAATAATATTATAATAACTAATGATAAAGACATTTAAGAAAAATCAAAGAAACTTACTTTTACTTTTTGTTGTATTGTAATTTTATAAAACTTCCAATCAAATATTGTGATGTAAATGTGAGTGGGAAGAAAGAAGGTGGAATATGACATTCGTCCATTAATTGTTTAATTATGTTTGTTGTAACAAAGTTAGATAACAAGTGTTTACTATGATACTAGAACATATTACATGAAAAGGGTGTTTTAAATATTTTTAAAATTGTCTTTTTTTTTGTTTATTTTTATTATAGTTGGTGATCTCCATGGTGACTAATGTTTTATGAAAGTAGACATTTGAAGTTGATATCTTGTCCATATTAATAATATTTTCGATCTCTACGATGTGCTAAGCATTCCGTATTAACATAGGATTTAAAGGTCACAAATCTAAGGGTTTTTGATGTAGGCTGTCTATCCTAATACAAGCATCATTAATTAATTTCACGGTTTAAACTCGTGATTTATAGGTTAAATATAGACAACTTTATTGTTAATTCAAAACTCAAACGGAGTGGGAGACAATGTCATCATAGAAAATTAACGTGTTTTGACCAAGAAAATTCTTAGTGGTATAATTTTCCTCAATTTTAATTTGATGAAAGATGGATTTATCAAAATTGTTAGCACCCTCCCTTTTTTCTATCTTTTTGTATATTTTATTTACAAAACAACAAACATATCCTAACCTATTTCAGATTTTGTGCAATTTGAATTTGAAACAGGTAGAATTTTCACCTTTTTATCATCTAGTTGGCCATTATTTTGTCTTATATATACTTTGTTGATTGAGAAACGGGCATGTTTTGTTTTAATAATGATGGTCGAGAAACGAGATTATCTTGGATACGTCTCGATTAATTATACAAGATACATATTACCTCTCGCTAGAACAAGTATTGAATAATTTTGTTCACCAAGATTTCAACAAATGAAAAGAAAGCACATAGGATTCTCTTTTGTTTCTGCTAAAATTTGAACATTAGACCTCATGATTCTCAACCACTTCGTTGATCACTAAGCCACATCATTGAGTTCATACTAGAAACGAAGATATTTTGTAAAGTAAAGGAAGCAGAGAACAAGTACGATGTAGGATTTCTAGTTGAAATAGGTTTTAGATTCAAGTCTAAATCTATAAATAGGGCGATAGTTTCGTTGGAGAAAATCGCACACTTACATAGAAAGAGGATCAAAACACGATCAAGAGTTTGAGAGAGTTTTGAGATTTACATGGGGAGTGTTGCCAATTTGTGAAGAAAAAGTTGTAAGATTGTAATTAAGAGTTTTTATTACAATCAAATGTGTGTAGGATTCGTCTAAAAAGTTTGAGAAACTTGACGGACAGTAGAAGACTTAAACCTGGACTTTTTTTTCTTGGGTAGCTAGGAATTAGAGTTTATAATTCCTTAGATTACTTATGTTTGTAATTTGTTGTTGAGACTCAGAGTTCAATGAAGAGAAGTTAAATCCTACAAAGGTGTAGGTCGTGGTTTTTTTCTCTAAAATGAGCCAGGTTCCTTAGGCAAATTTGGGGTCAGAATTCCAACAATGTGCCTAAAATACGCCTATGACAATACAAGATTTTATATACAATCCGCTATTTGTCTTAGTAAGAAAGTTGCTTCCTACAGGCCCTCGGCTCAAAGAATGAATGGATACTACATTATGGACTAAAACTGAGAAGAGCCCAACCCAGCATTCCTCTCATTTCTTGGGGTCACACTAAACCTGTTTATCAACTTTGATTACTTCAAGGTGAGCTTTTGCTAAAGATTGAGCTTACCACCTTTTCCTTTGTGTTTTAACTTACTAAGCACATGAGACATCTTACTGAGCCAGTAAATAATTCCTTGATTTGCAGGAAATGACAATAAACATCCTTTTTTTCTCCACTTCGATTACAAGATAATGTTCAAGCAGTTGATCAATATGAAGTTCACCTGATTAGTTCTTTGAAACTAAGAACATGGATACAGATAATACCTCAGAAGTGGGGACTTTTCTGAGCGAAACCCCGTCTTCCAACAAGCAACAATCTCACTTAAGGTCAGGGGATGTGATTGCTTTGGTGTTTACACTTCCCGTGCCTGCTGAAATGCTCAGTTGATGGCGCAGACACCGACTTTAACCTCGGTAATGTATCTGGATTGCTGACCATGACTATATACCAGTTCCAAAAGAGGAGATATACAAATGGCATTTAACAGAATAATCATATAGGAATATTTCAAACTCAAATGAACCTAATCATTGGTTAGATCAAATATTGGATAAAAGCTTTTGTATTGTGCGAGAGAAATGTGAGTGGCAATATGAGGCTGATTAGGTCTCCTCAGGGAAAATTACTTTTTTCTCTACAGTAAAGCTATCTGGACTATAGCATCTTATATCATTCCCACATTTGCCCTCTTCATCTAATGAATTTAGCTCTTACTAGGTCATTTAAGCTCTCTCTGGCTTTGCTGTCTGGACTCTTCAAAAAGCAGTCGTATCTGATCCTCCAAAATGCACTACTTTTGGTTGGATCCAACATGCACCACTCGACAATTTTGAAGAGTCTGACAACATAGCTCTTTGGCTTTACTATCTTATCACAAGTCTCAACCCCCTCCTTCCCCTCTCCAAAAACAAAGGAAAAAAGAGACAATTCCAGAAGTAGGGTCTTTGCAATATATTGTCAATGGAATAATATTTACCAAAAATCTCTGCAAGAACAAGCGCCGTTTACAAATCTGTGAAACCTAACTCTGTCCCTAACAATTATCTCCCTGTTGTATATTCTACTAATTATCTTTGTCACTTCATGGCAATCCCTACAGACCCTGAGGTTCTTCACTATCCTAATCACTGCAGGTGCTTTTGTCTTCAAAAGTCCAAAAGCAATAGCTAACCTTTCACTGTGCTCACAAAGTGCAATTTCCTTCTCTGCGTCACTCACATTGTGCAGAATAGGAGCAATCCAAGGTTCATGTCCTGCAGAGTATACCCTTTGAGATATATCCCTTAGGAACTCTTTGATCTCCTCTGCTTCAGGGTGTGACCAATCACCCATCACAAACTCGTGCACAAAACCGTCAACTTCAATGGAACTGCATCCTGGCATAGCCTTAATACCTTTGTCTTTCATCTGTTTCCTCACGTACCGCATTTTTTCCCAGTCTGATACTGATGCATACAGACTAGAGAGTAGGATATAGTTCTCTGCATTCCACGGTTCTAATTCAATTAGATGCTGACCTAGAATTTCACCTTTGTCCAAGATTTTGTTCTTTTTGCACCCAACAAGTAATGTACGCAATATTGCTGGACACGGGGCAAGTGGCATGGATTCGACAAACGAATAAGCTTCATCAATTAAATTTGAACGGCTCAACAAATCTACCATGCAGCCATAGTGCTCTAAAGATGGCTCAATCCCAGACTCAATCATGTCTGCCCAATACCTTTTCCCTTCAGAAACTAGTCCACTATGAGCACATGCCATAAGAACCCCAACTAGTGTCACATGGTTAGGTTCTACCTGAAAGCCAAATTCAAAAATAGATTACAGATAAGTTGCTAATAGTCCATACATCAAAGCTTTACCATTCAATGATCGGTTATAGTAAATAGACACAAAACTACATCTCAATTCATCTGATTTTACGCTAACATTCAACACCAAGCCTAATAAGAGCAAAGCCATGCGCTCCTTAAAAAGTTATATGTGCATCAAGAATCAAGATGATAACTTTCATACGATTTAGCAAGAAAAATTGCATCTTTCAGCATTGTTCATAATAATTGCATTACCTTGGCTTTGTTCATCCTGGAAAAGGTCACCAGTGCATATTCCGCGAGCCCATTTACTGCCAAGCCAACTATCATTGAGCTCCAAGCCTTGGCATCTTTAAAAGGCATTGCTTCGAACACTTCAATTGCCTTTTCAATGTATCCACACTTTGCATACATATTAACAAGCGCAGTACTAAGCTCAAGATCATTCTCAATCGATTGCTTGTTGATATACGAGTGCACCCACCTCCCCAAATCTAACGCCCCAGACATAGCACACGCCGAAATCACACTCACCATTGTCACCTTATCAGGCAAAACACCCGTCTTCTGCATTTCCCTAAACAAACTAAAAGACTCATTAACCATCCCAAGTCTTGAATACCCACTAATCATTGCACTCCAAGCAACCACATTTCTTTCAGGAATTTCATCAAACACTTTCTCCGCCAACCCAATTTCCTCACATTTCGCATATAAATTCAACAACGAAGTCTGAACAAAGGGACTCGATCCAAACCCAGATTGAACAACATGCTTATGCACTTGTTGCCCCTCATCAAACGCCGCCAAAATAGAACACGACTTCAACACAAACGCCAAAGTGAAACTATTCGTTTTCGGGTAGTTTCTCTTGACCAATTTCTTGAATATGAAAAGGGGTTCGTTAGAAGCGGTATGGGATTCAAGAAAACCTCTAATGAGAGAATTATATGAAAATATACTAGGATTTGGGATTTGGGTAAGGACCCGTTTGGCGTAATTGAGGCTGCCATTGGGTGAAAGAGCTGCAAAAGTGAGAACTTTTGAGAGAATGAAGGAGATTGCTGAAGATGGAAGAAACGAATGAGTGATGATATGGCCATGGATTTGTTGAAGGATTCTCAGATTTGGACATTTTTGAACCAGTGAAACGAGTCTTTCTTCTACTTCTTCCAGCTCTTCGAACTTTGAGTGACACTATATGAAGGCTAATCAAGAATTTGAAATTAGAGAGGGAAGAGTGTAATTTATACTCTTAACAAATCTCAACACACACATATTTACACGCGTGTCCAAAATTTCAAATACGTCATTTGCTTATATCGAATTATTTAAAATCTCATTAACATATTCGAACGATGAATTCGTTATATGTTTAAAGTTATGAATTTATATATATAAAATAAGTATAATTAATTTTATTACGTTTAACATAGTGAATTTATATGAACTAACTTTATTCTTCAATTGAGATTAAGAGATTTGAGTAGTAAAACATAGACAAGTCTTCTTTTGATTTTCAGTTTATCCAATTATCCATTAGCATAGCAAGTTATCTATAAGTTAACTTTATTACATTTGCTGATAATTTTTATAAGGATATATAGATTTACTAATACATATTAAGCTACACTAATTAATATCATAATATATAGGGAAAATTGTATATAATAGCAAACTAATAACCTAAATTAAATGGAATAGTTAGGGTTTTGATTTAATTGTGCTTCATAGCAAACATTAGCTAAAATTTGCCAGTGTCTCTCCCAAAAATCTCGCTCGCCACTCTCCATTCTCGCTCGCCTCTCTCGCTTTATACACAGAAGTGTATAATTCTGTTTCTGTTTTGTATAAAGCGAGAGAAAATTGTATATACACATGCAAAAATGTATATCTTCGTATTATACACTTAATTATACAATTTACAAACATTTTACTTCAAATATTGCAGAGAAAAAGGCCAACGAATTATACAATTGCAGCGAAATACAATTTTCTCTAGCTTTATACAACAGAAGTGTATATATTGTGTTTCTGTTTTTGTATAAAGCGAGAAAAACATATATCTTCTTGCTATACACTTATAATTATGCAATATACATACATTTTAATTCGATTCAACTGCATGCAAAACAAATTATACAATTGCAGCGAAATAGGCCAGCGAATTATACAATTGTATATGTATAGTAAATTATACAGTTTTATGTTTGCTATGTAGCGCAATTATGCAAAGTTTGCTATAGCATACAAATATGAATTTTTTGTTTGCTATATGTGAAAGTTGCCCTAATATATATGTATATATAAAGTTGCATCAATAATTTACATATTTACAT